GAGTAGAGGGCCCAACGAGGGGTGATGGCTGTTTGCAGCTGGCACACCCCCTACAGGCGGGGGGCCCCACTGGCTGCCTTGGCAGCCTGGATGAGGGGCTGATGGCTGTTTTCAGGCTGGCCACACCCCCTTTAGGTGGGGGCCACTGGGTGCCTGGCCAGTCCAGTCTGGGTGAGGGGCTGAGGGCAGTTTTCAGGCTGGCGGGCAACTGAAGCTCCCAGCCTCCTTTTTTTTTTTTTTTTTAATTCTGGGATTTGTTTACCTTCTATAATTGAAACATTGTTGCCGTTACTGGCGCTCCCAGCTCTGAGGCTGCAGCTGGCTGAAAGCAGGTATCTGGGGTTTGTTTAGCTTCTATAATTGAAATATTGTTGCTTCCGGAGCTCAGAGCTGGGCCGCGGCAGGCGGGGAACCTTGGCTTCCTCCATCACTGGAGCAAGCAAGCCTCATGTTTGCTTCAGCTACGTGGCTGCCGGCCGCCATCTTTGTTGGCAGTTAATTTGCGTATCGCCCTGATTAGCCAATGGGAAGCTTAGCGAAGGTACGGTTAATTACCCTTTTTGGCTTTTATTAGATAGGATAGATATAAGAGACATTGGTCTGTAGTTTTCTTGTGATGTCTTTGTCTGGTTTTGATATGAGAGTAAAACTGTCCTCATAGAATGATTTAGGAAGTGTTTTCTTCATTTCTTGGGAAGAGTTTGTGGAGGATTTGTGTTCATTTTTCTTTAAATATTGGATAAAATTTTTAAAGAAGCCATGTGGATTTGACTTTTATTGTTTGATTACTAATTCAATATCTTTTTTTATATCGATCTAATCAGCGTGTCTATTTCTTCAGTCACTTTAAATCTCTCTTTTTTTCTTTGTCAGTCCAGCTAATGCTTTGTCATTTTTGTTGACTTTATCAAAGAACCAATTTTTGGCTTCATTGATTCCCTCCATTATTTTTCTATTTCATTTACTCTAATATTTATTATTTCCGTTCCTCTTGCTAGCCTCAGGTTTAGTTTGCTTTCTTTTTCTAGTATCTCAAGTATTAAATTAGATTATCCATGTTGGAGCCTTTATTAAATGTTCACTTTCACAGCAATAAATTTTCCTCTGAGCACTGCCTTTACTGCATCGCATTAAGTTTTGGTTTGTTTTAATTCATCTGAAAGTAGTTACTTTCCTTTGTGATTTTTTTTCTTCAGCCTCTAGTTATTTAGGCTTCTGTTGTTTAATTTCCACAAGTTTGTGAATTTTCCAAATTTTCTTCTCTTATAGATTTCTAATTTTATTCTGTGTGGTCAGTTAACATATTTTGTATGTTTTGGTACTTTTATATTTACTGAGACATGTTTTATGGCCTGATGTATAGTCAGTCCTGGAGGATGTTTCATGTGCACTTAAGAAGTATATGTAATTTGCTGTTATTGGATTGAGTGTTCTACAAATGTCTGTTAGGCCAAGTGGGTTATAGTATTTGTACAAGTCTTCTATTTCCTTGATGGTCTTCTATTTGGTATCTACTATTGAAAATTGGATATTAAAATAAGTGTTATTGTGAATTGTTTTTTCTCTTTTCAGTTCTGTCAGTTTTTGCTTTGTGTATTTAGGGGCTCTTTTGTTAAGAACTTACATGTTTGTAGCTTTTGTATCCTTTTGATGTATTCACCCTTTCTTCATAAAATGTCCTTCTTTGTGTCTAAATCTTAGTATAACCATTCCAGCTCTCTTTTGCTTTTGGTTACTGTTTATGTAGCATATCTTTTTACATCCTTTTACTTTCAATTTATTTGTGTCCTTAACTCTAAAGAAATTCTCTTATGAACAGTGTGTGTATATATATATATATATATATATATATATATATATATATATATATGTATTTGGATTATATTTTTATCCATTCTGCCAATCTCTGCTTTTAATTGGTTTTAATTGGAGATACTATTTATCTATCTATCTATATATCTATATCTATATCTATATCTATATCTATATCTATATATATATGTGTGTGTGTGTGTGTGTGTGTCTATACATGTAGACACATTATGTGGTAAGGTATGTTTATATAATAAATTAATTTTTTATGAATGTGAATATTTGCTGAATGAATGAACAATTCATGGACCATTCTCAAGTAGGTTCATACAGTCAAAATGTTAAAGAAAATATTACAGTATCAAATTCAGCAAGCATATATGTGTTTCAAATAACACATATCAAACCCAAGAAGAAAAATTCTTACAGAACAAAAATGTTGCTAATATCTGTAATTCATAGAGAACTCTTATGAGCTTTCCTTTTTCTTTTAGGAATAAGAAAGGATGCCTGAAATCCTCTCATATATTTAGCATTGTACTGGAGGAACTAGGTAGTATCATAGGAAAAGAAAAAGAATTTAAAGGTCTTAAAATGGAAAAGAAATAGCAATACTCATCATTTGCTGATTGATCTACAAAGAAAGTCCAAAAGATGCTATAAGCAAACTTATTCATAGTACTACATTTTTCTAGAGAACTTGCATTATTAGTGTCATAAAGATAAATTTTAAAAGAGAAGTATCATAGTCTTATTTTGTCCAAAAGAAGATTCTTTTTAGTAATTCCATTTTAAAGATGATGAATTTTTGGAAAAAGAAAAAATTATTTTAATCCTCACCTGAGGATATTTTCCCATTATTTTTAGAGACAGTGGAAGAGAGGTGGGGGAGAAGGGAGGAGAAACATCAGTGTGAGAGAAACACATCCATTGGTTGCCTCTTCCAAGTGCCCCAACTGGGGCCAAGGATCCAGGCCCATGTCTGTGTCCTTGATTAGGAATTGAATCCACAATGTTTTGGTGTTGTAACCACTGAGCACACAGCCAAGGACAACTTTTGAATATTTTTAAAAATCAAGTTATATTTTTTTTCCTCTAGGGCTACAGAGACTTCTGATGAAGTGGAGAGTCTGCGGCCCCCTCGGTTCTTTAATGAAGATGGAGTTATAAGACCTTACAGGTTGAGGGATGGTACTGGAAATCAGATGTTGCAGGTGGGTGAAGAAATATCTTACAAGTTAAGATTAATTTAGCTTTATTGAAAGTAGCTTTAAACATATGTTAGATTATTTGAACTTCTATGTTTTGCTTAATTCCATTTATAAGTTCCTTAATTTACCTAGGTTTTATTGTACATTTATTTACTATAAGATTTTTTTTTCTTTTTTACAGGCATCAAAAAGTTTGATATGAAAACAGTTAATGCATGACTTTGCAACTGAAAGCCAACAGTAGATTTTAGTCTTAAAATTTACAAACTACGTACAGCTGTTTCAGTGTTTTGAAAACAAAGAAAAGCTTTTGTATTGGTAACTTTTGTATAGGATTTTTAGTGAATCCGATCTTTTTATAGGGTATTCTAGTTCTGTGCTGGATTTGCTATATTTATTGAAAACCATTGTGTCTATATACCCTCATAGTTGGTGGTACTTTTTAGCCAATGAAACCATTTCTGTTTAGGGTACTTCCTTCTCTTTATCAAACCAACAGGTGCTTTTATACTGGATATAATTCTCATGTCCAACTAGGAATGGGTAGGGAAAAAATCAGGACCATTGCTATTCGAATTCTTAGGTTCTTGTCCTTTTCTTTTATAGATGCTCAAGTGGCCAAAACCCTCTTTTTGCTTTCTGCTTGTGTCATCCATTTAAAATCTTTTGGAATTTGATAAGTAGTTCATAAGAAAGCCAATATCTTTTAGTAAAGGAAAGTAGCTTTTGGAACATAGGCAGTTTGGAGGTAGAATATTTTATCTGTTAGATAATTTTCTTGCTAGTAAGTTGAACTTCTTAAAAATCTGGATTATAGTGTAGGTAATATATACCATAAAATTATACCAATTTAAAGTAGTTTGTGTGGGTTAGATGTGGAATACTAAAATAAATTATTTTTGAAAACAAAGAGTCATTATGTTGTATAGACTTGCAAATATTCAAGGTAATAATGAAATGTGGGAATATGTCTCTTCCTTTATAAAGCCTTGAAATTTTAAATATTGCCACGTTTAAAGTGATTAGGGTAAGATTTAAAACTTCAATATTTTGCTCACTACATGCAGAGTATGTAATTTTTGCATAAAATGTGCTTTCATCTAATGTAGTAAAACATAACCATTGAATTAATGTGTGATATTTAGTAAAGTGATTTTACATTGTGTTTAAAATGTTTTTAAAGCATCAAAATAATACCATATTAGGATGGAACTGGCAATCAAGTGAGAGACTGTGCTCTCAGGGGCATTTTGTACAGTCTCTGCAGTGTCAGTATATCCTTCTTTGGAAGAAATGTTGGATGGAAATCCAGCAAGTTGGAAATGTTACAGAACAAACCTCTGGTTCATACATTTGAAACATATATTTCTACTCAGTACCTGCCTTCTCTTTTTAGGACACAATTAACAGGTTACTAACATTTTAGTAGACTGAATAGTTATCAAATCATCTTTAAAAAACTAAAAATATTTGAGACACTATTTTAATAAACTTAATAGGAAATAAAGATGAATGGTAAGGAGTTTAGAAATGCATTGTCATTATTAGAAAACAGATTATAATACATAAGAAAGCCATGAGATACCAAACATTTCTTGTGATTGATAACTTGATTTCACTGACAAGTAAATTTATTCTATGCCTTCCTTGTTTATATAAAGCTTTAAACCTTGGTATTTAAAGGTCATTACTTTTGACTATATTTTTTAATATATATATTATTTTTAGTAGGCCAGTCTTACCATTAATTGCCAAAAGAGCTATTTAAAGTCTAAAAGCTCGCAATCCTTGTCAGCCATTACTTGTTTTTCAACAAGAACAGTAAACACAGTATAGCTGGAATACCTATAGGAATTTACCAGATGCCTTAGGATGTTTGCAGTTAGCATTATTCTCTTAATAGGTGTAAGAACTGGGTTATTGCTTTGGTGGTAATAGTGCTTCTTTGAATCAAAACTCTACTGTATGATTAGCTAGCACTTTAAAATATATGAATACTGTGGTAAAGAACTGAATGTCATAGAAACAGGATTTAAAATCTCATCAGCTTAGATTTAATCTATTTAACTGGTGCATTTAGAAAAAGTTTAATACAATCAAATATTTCTCCTCTTATATTCTAATTTTCTAAAAATAGTGCTCTATATTCACAAATTCTATATGCCCCTGTATAGTAATTAAATATAAAAAAACCACTTTCGTTATGTACCTATCTGGAAAGTAGTACATTATCATAGTGCTTCCTAGTAGTAAGTTGAAGAGAGAAATAGAATAATTCTATTAGAGAAATAGAATAATTCTAATGTATCCCCAGACTACCTTATTGGTATCACCAAACGATTTTAAACATAGCAACCAGTAGAGTTTAGTCTTAGTCTATTAAGATATGGAATATTATATCCATAATTATTGCCCTATTCAGAGCTGGTGTCTGCTTCAAAATTATTTTGACTCCTTGAACATTTCATAAGTTTGCATGTCTTCCAAGGAATTTGTCATACTTCGCTAACCATTGTGCCTCTTTTTTTCCTTTACCATGCTTACAGAAAATTCAGGTCTACAGGGAATGGATTATGACTCACAGTAGCAGTAGAGATGATGATGATGATGATGTAAATTAGTCAGATCTCAAATGTTAAAATTAATATGTTAATCTTATTTGAAATGTTTCAGTAACATGTTTTGTATGACTGCTATCATAATACCCATATGCTCATTTTTAGCAAGTTAAAATCTTTTTTCATTTCAAAATGTTTTTCTCTACAGTTTCAAAAGGCAAAATAATAGCATTATTTAAGCACAGAAAAATGTATTATACATCCAAAGTAGGGCATACTATATATTTTGTTTGTATATACTTTGTAGTTTTGTAATATAGTTTGTCTTTAAGATTTAGTTAGACTTAAAGTTTTTGTTAATGTTACCTAGTTTTATCTTATTTTAAATTTCTGTTTGTTAGCAAAATGCTATTTTTAATGTTCTTTGTATGTTTTGGTTTGTTATGTAATGCCATTGTGAAAAAAAAAGGAAGAAAGAAAAGAAAGAAAAAGGAAGAAAGAAAAACCTAATAGCTAGTCAAAATTCATATTTATTTAGCATTTTAAAAGTATTTTTGTCAAAATTTTAAAATAATAAACATATAACTTGAAGCAATATGAATTTGTTGTTCTGTTCCAAAATCATATAGTTTGGACTGCTATTATAAGGAACATTTATGATTTAACATGGAAGTGATAATTTATAGTCTGAGGATGAAAAAAGTGTTCTTTAGTTTACACTTTATTTCATTTTGTATATATAATATATAGTGAAACAATGAACAAAGTTGGTTTTATAGTCATTGTATTTACTTATTAACTTACATATCCATATGCTATTCCTCTATTATAGAATGATACAAATTAATTCAGGACATAGAAGTATTTTTATAGTAAGCATAATTTTTCTTGATAATATTGGGAAAATGTTATCTATGTATCTGTGAGCAAATGTTTTATGTTTTGTGTACTGAGGGATGGTTGTTTTTTTTCTTTTTTTTATAATTTCAACTTAGTGAAAGTGTCTTGTCCTGTTTCCCTAGTATATCAGATGTATTATTATTTTTTAAATCCTCCAAAAACCAAATGACTATTATTAGTATAATGTTTAATCCCTAATGACTTCAGTGCTTTGGTTCAACAAAGGAACATTTACCTTGATTCATGCTAAGCACTTTGGTCATAATGGACTTGCATTAGATTGCAGTAAATACTTACCATAATTGTTCAACTTTGGGCTTGATTCAGCCCATGATGCCTGAATGTCTTCTAATTCTTAAGTTTATCAGGATTTTATTTCTGTAAATCACTGTTTTCTATTACTTAGAAAGTTTTTATAAAAATTTAAGATTTCCAGTATTGAGCTTATAGAAAAGGAAGCTCTTTTGAAATTACTACCTGCCTAGCTTTCATTCAAATTAAATAGAAACCAAGATCATGTGTACTAGGACTAAGAAATATTTGAATAAGAAAGAATTTAATTATTGTTTTCATCAGAGTAATTTTCTTGCCATTTTTTGGAATAAGTGAATGTGAAAACAGTGTCCATTAAAATAGTCACTGCTGGTATCAGAGACCATTTGTATTTGTCATACACCCACTACTCTATCACCGTTGGCCAAAATAGAAGCCTGCTGGTACTACTAGAAGCTATAAAGAATGCAGCCTAGTGTTATGTATTGTGTATGCCTGAGGAATGTCTTCTTACATTCCAACTTTGCTAGGTATAAGGCTTTTCTAAAGGGGAAATGCTAAACTACGTGTTAAATTGAGTTTCCTGTGGTGGGTCTGTCACACTTAATTCTATGGTACAGGTTTCATAATGATCCTTCCAACTTATCTGGAAAAAGTTCTGGATATTTCAGCAGTGACATACCATTTTAATGAAAAGAAAATTGGAAGTAGGATTATATTTATTTAAAATGTCTTAAACAATAAAAAAGATCAAAACAATATTCTAGCAACTAGTAAACTTTGTTCTTGTGTTCTTAAAGGACTCATCATTCTTCAGTTTTAGTTCTTAGAAGTGAAATACGTTCTTTGATAGTATAATTGCCCTTGTTCTTTGTGTTTTCCTGTTACAGAGAAATAATCTTTTTAAGTTGACCACAGGTATTATTTTTCTTAAAAAATAATTATACATAATTATTAAAGTATTATTATCTTCTCTATGCTGTACTTTATATCCCTGTGACTGTTTTGTAACTGCAATGACTGTTTTGTAACTGCAATCTGTACTTGTCCTTTCACCTTTTTCATCCAGCACCCCCCCCCCCCCGCAACCTCCATCCCCTCTGGCAACCACCATTCTGTTCTCTTTATGAATCTGTTTCTATTTTGTTCTTTAGATTCCACATATAAGTGAAATCATATGATATTCGCCTTTCTCTGGCTGACTTATTTCACTTAGCATAATGCTCTCTAGGTTCCTTTTATTAGGGAAATGTTTAAGACCAAGGATAACTT